ATAATAGTCTCTAGTACCTAATTTATTATTAAATTATGTTATTTAAGCTAGAGTATTCTAAGAATAATATTATATTTTAGTTTAAGGATAATAAATATTAATAGAACTTCTTAATAAATATTAGAAGGTATAAAGGATAAGGGAACTTTAGTAATGTAAGTTATTATAAAGATCTAATTATTAAAGTCTATTATAGTTCTTTAACTTTCTAATTTTTTATAAAGGAATCTAATTTTTTATAAAGAAAGAATTATACAAAAGCTTTACTAATATATATTATTACAGAATAATTAAAGTTAATTAAGGCTTAATATTTAAATTATCTAATGTTATACTTAATTAAGAGGCACTTAGAGTCAAGAGAAAGGTCTATTAAATATAAAGAAATAAAATCTAATTATATTATTAGATTATTTATTATATTAGTAGTAGTTAACTTCTTCTTAATCCCTTAAATATAACTTAGTTTAAGGTTACTTTATTTAATAACTTTGTATTAATATAATTATTAAATAAAGGAAGAGGGGTAAGGAAGGCTAAGGCAATAAGTGTAATTGCTTACGAGGTTATTAGAGTAAATACTAGAGTTAAGGACGCTATAATAGGCGTAGAAGAGACAGTACGAAGATTGCTTTATAGCTTTAGCTTTTCTAGGTATGTATTAGCTCTATAGTCCGGGCCTGTGTAGTAGTAATAAAGGCTTAGATTACGTTGACGTTCTTGTTCAGCTTCGCGTTCGTTAGAGGCTTTGCGGACCGAGTGATCTATATTTATAAGGTCATAGGAAACAGGGGCAGGCGTGACAGGACAGGCGGGGGCCGGAACTAAGACAGTTGAACTTATAGGCAGCTTCCATGACCTAGTTGTCTGTCGTGATAGTGCGGCGTATAGTAGGTTATCCTACTGAGTGCACTCTTAGACAAAGGCTTTATATAACATGTCTCTGACGTTAATTATAGCTAGCTTCTCTGTAAGTTCCTTAGATAGTGCAAGTCAGAGCAGTCCCTTAAGACTATAATCCCAAAATAACATTCTTCTAGCGGTCTGCTTAAACTCCGGGTAGAATTCGGAGAAGGGTCAGTGCGTTTGCCTCATCTTTACAAGACGGCAGATAGCAGAGTACTTCAGGTCAGTATTACTGAAGTTGAGCTTTAGTTCTTCGATTAGATCTACCCAATCCGGATAGATCTCTTTGTTAACGTTATCTAGAGCGACATCTAAGGCATAATCTATAAGTTAAGAGAATACGTAATAAATATATAATATAGGCGTGAGGTATCTATTAGTATTAACTCTAAATTTTAAAGTAAGGCCTATCTTAAACCTCTCTAGGTCTTTGTAAGTGTTAGGCCTTAAGCTATTAAATATAGGAACGTCTGTAGTCTTTTCTGACTTTGTAAGTATATGCTAGAATTATTAATTCTATTGCAGAACTATAGCTATTACTAACAAGGTCTAGGCTATTAGGCCTTGAGTCAGATCTTAGGCTGGGTGCTTAGAGGGCTGGGGAGTATAAATCAGAGCCGGACTATGCGTAGGGATAGGTATACAAGAGGGTTCTTATAGGTCAACTATATCGTCGTCAAGATGTATCCAGGCGTTAGCCATAGTTTCTGTAGATAAAAAGGACTCAAGGGAGATCTCAGATACCAGGCTCATTCCGGCACGCAATGACCCTGGGGGGGGGTGTGTTGAACTCAAAAATACAGTTTGCGCTATTTTGCTACGTGTGTCACCATCGTTTTGTTACAGATTTGATACGCGTTTTGCATCAGCCACGCATGTATTTTTGGTATCTGCGTTTCGCGCTATTTCGCTTGATATAGCAACTTTGTACGTATAAATGCGCGCTCCTCGCACTGAATTAGATAGAACAACTTGCTATTTACACACTATCCATTGATTAGTCAGCACAGTTCGTCACTATTCTTCAGCCTGGTCATTGCCCGTGCTATAACAGTGAGTTCGTAGCGATCCATATCGACTCCTTTCATCAGTTGCATTGAAACGGGATGCTTCAGAAGGTGTCGTATCACAATTTTCGAAATCCGGCGATTCTCTATTATCTGTTGGGCCTTTGCAGGATGCTCTTTTTACCAATTAATCATGGGTCTCCATCAATTTTTGCCGCAATGTCCTTTTTCTTATCTTTGCGGCTTCCGTACCTTCAGCTAGATGTTCTAAGACGTCGAGGTAGACAGTAATCTGCACTATAATGAGTCTTGCACGCTGAAGTGTAAATAATGCTGCTCTATTCAGATCATGTGGACGAGTGAGTTTTCAACATGTAGTTCTGTTGAAGACACCCACATGTTGACCTCAATCGGATTTCCCAAAGCTGCGATCAAGGATCGTGCTTGAGTAAATAATATTTATTGAATTAAGGACAACGCGCGCAGGTGTACGTACAAATTCGCCGTACGGTGCAGCGAGATTAGCCGCGAAATCCTAGTAGAAATGGACTAATTAAAAGCAGGCGAAACGCAAGGGTTGCGCGTAGAAATAACTCCATCCAATGAGCGCTCATACACTTCGACAAAACTATTTGTCTTGCCAGTCTACCTAGTACAGGGGAGCATAAGTATTGCTAGGCTGGTGCTAGTAGCAGCTAGTTATCGTTACTCTCTATAGTGCTGTGATTTGGTGTTGCAAAACTTGACTTGAGCGCATCCATTCAACTGCATTGAAAATTTACATTTAGTCTAACCTGGGACTAGCTGTCTTGTATAATAGATGTTTTCGAGTAAAATTACGAACGCTGAATTAACAATAATTCTTGCCCCGGGAAGTACGTTTGTGGCATAGCGTCCGCCGTGCAGCACCTTGCATCCAACCTAACTCGTAATTTCTCGAGCCTGACTGGCTCACGGGGCCACGGGTCTTAATAAGTGAGCATTAGCTTTGGTTACCTAGCTTAATTCGGTTACTGGCTTCCTTTCCGCGAAGCTCCGTTCAGGCGTGCTGCATTAGAGGATAGATGTGACTTATTGCCCTTCGATTACAAAAAGGCTCTCTCTCTCTCTACTGCGGTTTTGAGAGGTTTGAAAGAACCAGTTTCAAAATTGGGAGATAACTTGTTATCGAAGGAGGCTCTGACTTACGCAATTTAAGCACAGTGAATTAACCTGACCTGAGTCATCATGGACACCACAGCTTCTACTCTCAAGTCAGACTACCCATGGATCCAATTCCCTCTTATCATCAGTGCAGCAATGTATCCCATGTCGTGCCCTTCACTCGCTCTCGCGGTTTCCAAAGCAGGAGGCCTCGGTTTCATCACCGGCGGCCTCAACGCCGTGGATCTGAAGAAGAACCTCGAAGAGTCCGCTGAGCTCCTACATCAGGTCCAGCCACCCATGAGCTTCGAGAAGGGCACTCTTCCCATTGGCGTGGGCTTTCTGCTTTTCGGCAATAAGCTAGATGAAGTGGTACCTCTGGTTCAAGAGCATAAGCCAGCAGCGGTGTGGCTATTCGCTGCTCATCAGATCGCTGAATACGCCACCTGGGCCAGAGCAATGCGAGAAGCAACTGATGGGAAGACGAAGATCTGGGTCCAAGTCGGCACTTCAGTCGATGCGCTGGAGGTTGCCAAGATCTGTGAGCCAGACGCGTTGGTCGTTCAGGGCGCTGATGCTGGCGGGCATGGGCTACAGCGTTCCGCTGGGCTGATGTCTCTGTTTCCCGAGGTGAGTGATAGCTTGAAAGCAGATGGACTGGGGCACATTCAGCTTTTTGCGGCTGGTGGTATCGCTGAAGGGAGAGGGGCACTGGCTGCTCTGGCATTAGGAGCGAATGGTGTTGTGATGGGCACGCGGTTCCTAGCAGCGGAAGAAGCTCTGATTCCACCAGGGTACCAGGACGCAGTGGTTAGAGTGAAGAGTGGCGCCACGGCAACGGTGCGTGCGGGGCTCTTCGATAACCTGCGCGGGCCCAATATATGGCCGAAAGGGTATGATGGCAGAGGAATCGTCAATGAGACCTATGTTGACGCCGAAGCCGGAATGCATCTGGACGAGAATAGCAGACTTTATGCGGAAGCCTTGGATGGTCGTCTTCAGCAGTATCCTGAGAGTGGTCAATCAGCGACTGGAACGGGTCGACTGACCATGTGGGCGGGAAGTGGCGTCGGCCTTGTCGATCGAGTCATGCCTGCTGCAGAGATCGTCGAGCACACTCGGAGAGAAGTCAAGGAGATCGTGGGAAGACTCGGTTCCAAATGTCTGGAGTAACTAACTTGGTGGGACCAGTAATTAAGGTGACGGTGTAATTTAACAGAACAAACTAACCGAGGCTGTATGTAAAACTGTTTCAAAATTTTATTTTAATGTGGAAGAGCAATATAACCCTAACTGATTTGATCGCCATCCATAAGTTCTATTACCGACTAAATGTCATCAATACACGGCTACGGCACTAGCCCTGAAGCTGTAAATCAGAAAAAGATTGCATTACAACTTGGCTACATTGCAAGTGACATTGACGAAGCACCCAGCTTAGACATTTTGAGCTATTCCCAAACATCTATGCCTTGTTGCTTCTCCCACAAGCCAGCTCACGGAGGGCCAGTCATGTCCCGCTCCCGAAACATGCACCTTAGATTCGGTTTCTCCCACAGCGTATACCCTTTCGTGTCACGCTCCCAGTCAATTTCATCGCCGTTGAACCATACAATATCGTATTTCCAGAACATCTTGGCAAGGACCATGCGCATCTCGAGGTACGCCAGACTGAGCACATGTTAGCCATAATCTCGAGTGCACCCTGAGCAGGGAACTGGGGTTCGATGTGGACGGAAGGGATCGCACTCACTTCCTTCCCAAACATCCTCTCGGCCCGTACGAAAATGGCAGGCTTCTATCAAGTTTATCGCCCCTTTGACCCTCGCTCTCAGTCTCGATCCAACGTTCAGGAATGAACTTATTCGGCTCGTGGAAGTTTTTGGGGTCTCGAAGTATAGACCAAGGGTGGACGGATATACGGGTCTGTGGGTGAGTGTCAGCTTGTAGAGTGTTCTAATCGCCGTGGTAAGGCAAGAGGGCAAGAAGATGACGAGGAAGGAAAGGAGAAGGAAGAAGAAAACGAAGCATAGTACGTACGCCCTCGGGGATAAAATGTCCCGATATTGTACAACCACCCTTTGGTACAATCCGACTCAAATGCGCTGCCCCAGCTGGTGGATAAATCCGCAACCCTTCTTCCACGACGGCGTTCAAATACGTGCACTTCATCAGTTCCTTGCTACTGATGGCCTGAATCGTCGGAAACGCACTCCGCATCTCATTCTGAAGTCTCTGGAGTGCTAGGCGGTTGTGGCAGAGGTAATACAGAGTACCGGACAGGAAAGTAGCCGTCGTAACAGTGCCCGCCATCATGATAGCGTTGTAGTGGGAAGCGATTTCCTTCGACGTTGCACTGGCCCCCTTGGAGTTGAGAATGTGGTACATGAAGTCTTTGCGGTTGGTTTGGGATTTAAGGCGGCTGCAGACATGGCGTTAACTTTCTCATATCTTACATCGCTGTGCAGGAAAGTAGTAAAAGGGTGGGGTATGGTTTGGGAAGTGAGCTGAGGGGTCACACTGGGGACTTACGCTTCAGTGTGCTCTGTTGCATACTCAGCGTGCCGGTATAGTGTCTTCCTCATGTGAGCAGGCCTGTACCACTCTAGAAACGAGGAAAGACCAGGGATGCAGACAACGGCACGCATAACGTCATTCATATAGGTTGTGTTGACAATCACGTCGGCCCAGTGATAGCGATGTTCTAAGGAATTATAAACCTCGAGGCTCTCTGTGGGGAAAGGAAGACTTACCATGTTGCTCCTTTAATTGGAAGTCCCAAGAGTCACCGAAAGACATTTCACCCATGATATTAAACGTCACATAGTTGAAATGCCTAATAATGTTCAATCCTTTCTTGCCATCCTCCTCCTTGATGTTGTCAATCATGCCTAAAAACTCATCAATCCTGTGTACTAGTACATCTTCGTTGTCCAATAGGCTAGACATGCTGAAAGCGAAACTGAGCATTCGCCTCATACGCGAATGTTCTTCCATGTTGCACTCGTTGATGATGTTCATAGAGTGATCGACTGCGGGGGTGAAGAATCGAGGATCTTTCTCCATCGACGGGATGTTTTTGGTGCCAAAGCCGTAGATAATCTTTTGGGCGGAGTGATCATTGGTGCTTAGATGGTTTGGAGCGATTCGGACGAGAGACCCTACGATTTTAAGCGTGCTTGAGGATCACAACGGACGTAGGACTGACCGTATTTCTTGTGCCAGTCGTGGTTCATCCACGGACCTCTGCCACTGAGAAGCGCATAATACCAATATACCTGTGGACAACCATCAACAATCTCGACTGCAACATGGGGTATAGCTGTCCTACATCGCCTCCTTTCGCAAGCAACGGCCCCGGGAAGCTTGCCAGCGGATGGAAGAGAATAAAATACCCAAGCCGTATGAGGAGAATCAAAACAGCCTTGACCAAGTCAGTTAAGCAAGCTCCCGAGATGTGGACTTAGAGATGTGCTTTGGATTTGGGTGTACCAAGCCTGAAAAAGAACATATCAAAGTATTCATATCGACGTGAGCGGCCATAGACATCGTGAAATCGCGATGTGCTGCAGTTAACAAAAGAAGCTATGCAGAGTACTTGCTGCATTGGGTCATGAGGCTGGTTCATATACTTATGTGCCTCACTCCCAGCGAACACTGGAAGCCTAAGTCTTCGGGAAACCATCATACGTAGGCAATACCACCAGGATTCAAGTGGCGTAGGTTCCAACCTATCCAACCCTTAGTGATGTTGTTAGTTGTGGACATCCTTGACACAGCTGGTAGCGTCAAGTAAGTCGTCGAGCAACTTGTATTATGTGATTGGTCTGGACTCGTCACTTAGGGGGGTTGTATCAGTATTTGCGTACTAAGAGTCAATCATCAGTTTCCATACATCCGTCTTCCCACTACCAACTCTTTGATTGTACCCAATTGTATCATTCAAAAAGACCATACTGTCGGCTGCTTGAATCAGATATCGTGGCAGTGGCTCCAGCGTCTGTAGTCACACAGTAACTGGTCAGATTCGGATATCCCTTAACTGTAAGCTTTGTTTGATGATCAGATTCCCACGTGGCCAGCCCCCATGTGCAACAATTCCTATTACGCAATCGTTTTCAGGCCAATACTTATCTCCGTTCCTACCAAATTTTCACGAGGCTCAGCTCGGCGCCAGTCTACAAATATTGACTGAAATTAACACAGATGGATTGAATGACCAGAGCCAAACAGTTCTTGTTGACGTAAGGCTCATTGAAGCTATCTTGATTGATAGTATCTCTAAAAAAGCGTCAGCATTGTTTGAATAATAGAAATATGCTCTGGACTCAAGTTGCCAAGCAATATTTGTTGCGGATGAGGATCTGTTGCACATGATATGGGCTGGCCATGCCACATGATGCCTCAATCTAGTCTTGCATTCCTTGCGCGGTGAGTGAGGCCCATTGAAGCGAGCGCTACAATGGACCAAGCTGCTGACTGCACTGCCCAAGCCCAGTGCGCTTGTTGCCCTGGGACAGGAGCGTTCGCAAAAACCAATGCGGCTCGACAAACCATGGCCGCATTACCGACCTATACTTATGAGAAGAACCGCACGCGTTGATGGACGTTGCCTTAAGCGTGCATGAACTTCTTGTTCAAGGGTTGTTAGTATCAACTTGATAGGTAGTATTGGGTGGCGTTGGTGCTATCTAGATAGGTAGAACAATCACATTGCAAATAAGGCAACCATCTACGTAGTTGTCAGGGAAGATGTTACCCTAGTGAGACATGTCTCTAGCGTTATGATACTCGAACCTTTTACTACTAACACAGACATGTGAGTGGACGTACGCTTATCGGATCAGGGTTGAACACGAGGTTTCTTCATTTTATTACACAAGGGCAAGGCATAAAACAAAGGGCCCCCACGCGGTGCGGGAATTGAACGCACCACAATTTTGACCGAGATTTCCCCGAAATAGGTAAATACTAAGTTAGTACTAACTCATTACCGTTATCCCCAAAATGAGGCTCTGACGGCCTCTCCACCCGTATTTTCTAGCTTTCTGCATGGAGAGGGCATCTCAGTGATACGCTCCCAAACTTCCTGCATAGTAATCTTGCTCCATTCGTCTTGCAACACCTCTTTGAGCTGTTCAAGATCATCCAGTAGAAGTGGGTCGTAGTTGTTGATTCATTTTCGGCTAAATCTTGGTCAAAATTGTGGTACCTTGATTCCTGCACCCGGTGGTGAGTAATGTTAGTTCAGCACTATTATTGTTACCTGCAACTCCCCTTCGTACAGCACAACTATGTTCAAAAGGAGACTAGATATGATAATTTAACTTGTCAGAATGGGTGTACATAGAACAAGCCTTATAGTGACGGATTATAATTAGTGCTGTGTCCTCGTAACAAAAAATGCATATAGAATTCCTAGCTCCAAGCTAGCAATACTCGTACCTCTACCTCTAGTACAGACTAGACCCAGAATGGGAATTGAGTCCCTACAGTTTCAAGGCCCGAGATAGATGTCTGTCGTGCAAAAGATAGGATCCCGTTGAGCATAGTCCGCCTTGTGCAGATGCAGGAGCCGGGTCTAAATAAGACACTGGGAAATCGCAATACAAAACCACTGCCAATTCGTCTTAGAAGTGGATTGGCTGGCGGATTTGGTAGGATGCGCCAACTCCTGCATCCTACGGTACTTTGTTCCATGCTCTCCTATTTGACCGCGTCCTAGGTGGACTGTTAAGCCGTCCCATATTTTGAGAGTGCCTTGTCTACGGCCTTCAAGAATCCCGGTCATTCCCCCACTTTCAAGATTTCTCCCCCCTCTCAACTTCTACCCACAATGTCTCCACCACCACGTCCTCTACGTCACCAGCTCTGGCCCGATGGTGGGCTCCCCACGTTGCACGCCTCTTTGCCACACACTCCTTTACCCACATTGCTCTCTTTTCCCGTTCGTCGTCTTACCTCTTGCACAACGCCTCCTTCGTCACCTTTACCGCTGCGTCCGCCCTTGTCCGTACCTGCTCTACCGACGTGACTGACCGTGTCACGTTCAAACCCGCTCTCGGGAAAGCTGTTTCCGAAGTAGGTGTCCCTGAGGTCGTTGTTTACAATGCCGCCCGTATCAACTACGGCATGTTTGGGCAATATGCTACCGAAGACATCATCACTGACTTCAAGATTCCGAATCTGGGACCTTATACCACAGCCGGTGTGCTCCTGCCGCATTTACGGGCTCTTGCCGAGTCTGAGGCGAGTATGAAGCCGTCGCTCTTCGTGACCCCAGGAGCCATCATCCATCAGCCTTTTCCGCCCATGTTTTGACTTTCTATGGCCAAGGCCGCGCAGGCTAGTTTGGTGAAGCTGCTGGCGGACGGAAACAAGGACATCGTGCATGTGGTACTGCTGACAGTCGGAGGGCAGGTGTCGTTTGACGAAGAGGTAAACAACCCGCAGAATATTGCAACCAAATTTTGGGAGTTGTATGAGCAGAAGAAGGGAAATTGGAGTTCGAGAAGAAATGCGGATGGTGATATGAGGATGTTGGTAGAGAAAATGGATTTGAAGGCCATTTTGATCGGTTTCTACGAACCGGGCATAAATTAGAGAAATTGCACAAGGCACTTACCTTGGGCAAACCCTGGGCCTCAAGGGGAGTACTAAATCGGATTAGAAGATGGAACATCCATGTTTCTTAGGATTATCTTCTTGATTAGTAATTCTTCATTCAGCAGGAGCCACAGTAGATAGGAGCTGATTTCATAACTTCCAGTCTGAACACATCCTATGGCTATAGATATAACAAGCAACACAGAGATCGCTCAATGTTGCCTCTATAACAATCGAGCACTCGGATGTAAACGAATGCCATCTAACACTAGTATTCTCCAAAGGGTCAACGTTCCACATCCTTGAAGCATGAGGCTTATCCCGACATCAGAATTTAACTGTCCTTTGATTCGTTCATTTTGAAGGTCCGTAAGTGGAAGCCCAAGCATCATAATCCTCCGACTGAATCAAATCTTGCATGTGCCGGCGTCTGATGCCGGCGTCTGATACCGACGTTTCCACCGTCAAAAATTGGCAGCACCATGGCTACATTCAACAGGTCCGCAAAGGGCTGATCTGCGTCGTACGCGGTTCTGCATCACATTGTCAGTACGTTGGACAGCGACCTTGGGAATTATCGAAAGGGAAATCATACATTCCAACAACATTGATGGCCTTGGTCACAGCCTTTGTACATGAATCCGAGCAATATATCTTCGCTGCCAATGCCAACTCACGTCTTGCATTGTATTCTCCTGGACCATTCTGGAGGCAGCTCGCCGCCTTCCATGTCAGTGCTCTGCAAGCCTCAGTCTGCATCTTGATGCCACTTAGCAAATCGGCTACTGCTTGTCTCGTGAGTAAGTCCGACGCTCCTCTGCGGTTATCGCGCTTGGCGAAGGCCAAAGCGGCGTCAAAAGCGGCCCGCATCACACCAACGCTCATCGCGCCGACTAAAACTGCAGAACAATCGAAACTGGCTGACACGATATCCGCGCCGGTTCCGGGGGGACATAGGACATTCTTCAAAGGGACCCTCAAATTGGTGTATTTGATATGTGGGCCTGAACAGGCAGTGTGACCAGCGGTAGAAACTTGGCGTACGATTTTGAACGCGCCCGGGGCGTTGCGTTTGATGTCAGCGATTGTAACCAGAAGGATCATAATTGCGTCGGCAGGCTCGGAGGATTTCGGATTTGTGGTGCGGCACACGACACATTGGAGGTCCGCACCCTCAAAGTCCCAGCCAGCGCTGTTGGTGGCCCAGATCTATTCCTTCCGAATCAGCCACATGAAAGTGAAGATGGTGCTACGAAACGGTGACTGCTTGCAAGAACACTTCGTACATTTTCCCCACTAAGTACCCACTCATCACCCTCGGGCGTGGCAGTCGTGACCAGCCCCGGCGCACTTTTTCCAGATAGTTCGCGACCCCTCCTGGTTCGGAAAACACCAAGCTTGCCAACGGCTCGCCATCTTGACTCAAAAATGGCGCCAGGAATCCTTTGTGCTCTGGCTTACCTGTCAGGTTCAGTGGCGTTAAGCCGAGGCCAGTTGCAAATATCGTCAGTGATGCTGCCGGCTCAACAGCGTACATTTCTTCAACCAAGATTGTGGCCTCGACCAAGGTACCTCCAGTCCCTCCTAGCGAAGGCGGTATCTGGCCCTTGATCAAGCCTCCCGCAACGGCTTGACTATAGATAGGTCAAGTCGACTGGAATCTCTCGTAATGATGCTGGTATTTCATGTAGCTCTTCTTAGCATCTTTTAGGCACCCGGCCGCGAAGGCGGATGCCGCTTTTCTGATACCCTCCTCAGCGGGGGAGAGGTTAAAGTCGACAGGCATGACGGTGAGATATCTCCCTACCGTGAAGGCTGATTTCTGCTGACTCTGCTGTTCAAAAAGAGGATGGTAGTATTTCGTGCTTAAGCAAAGGTAGGTGGGATAAGCCGATAAGGATGTAAAACGGCTATCGTCTAAAGATTCTGGGTTATCCCATATTATTAATCCACCACTAACATGTCTTGATACAGAGCTATATCAGTAACTGTGTTGCAACTACCTTGTATTGTTACCACAGCACCCAGTGGGATATGCTGGTTTTTCTGCACATAAGACTGCAGGAACGAGGCACATCGGCCCGCACACGCTTTACGACACATCCTAAGGGGGGTCAAGTTGGTAGGACAATGCCGGGACATACTTTGGTTAGTGCAATACCTACCCTGGTACTTTGCAAGAAGAGGCCCTCTTAAATTACCGCCCGTGGGGTCGTTGATGTGCGCTTAGGTAAAGCCTAACCGTAAAACTACTTGGTATGCATATACATAAGGATACATACGTAACTTAGTCATCTGTGATCTAATCGGATCTTGTTATCTCTGACGTATCTTATCGAAAATATTGTTATTTTTTGGTCAAACATGCTTGGCTCATGGCACTTTTATGGTTCTTATTATATTTTTCTCACGGCATCCAGTCTACATCTTGGGGCACCCTTCCTCTGCAGTGTTATGTACTAACTACTAATCAGTAATAACATGCTGTGCGGCCTTGGCGCTTGCGGAGTTGTTTCCTTCGACTCGCTTGTAGCACTTGGCTAAGAAGCCGCCCCATTGTTGCATTGTCCTCAAGTACACACTTTCTTCTCACCAGGGCCCGGAGTTCTGGACGAAATAGGTGATCGAACATGTTTCATAGAGTGCTGATTGGACCAAAAGGACCTCGGTCCTCGGAGGAACTTGAACTAGCTTTCTCTGACAGCTCTATTTCGAAATTTGTTGCTTCTCGATGATTATTCACAGCATGTTGCTCCTACAGAAACTATGTCAAAAGCGTTTATTACAAACCTGATTGAGACACTCCACATCCCTGTCTTGGTCAGAAGGGGATAGCCTTGTTCAATCTACCATGGTAGATACAATCCGCCAGAATTCGCCCCCATTGTTGGCATTTTTGACTTTGCTGATACCGGTAAATCGCTGGTGTCACTGTGATGTGCTGCACACATGTGCAGGCAGGCTGCAGTTTTAAAAATGCTGAGTGCGCAGACTCACATGCGGTTTCATTGAAATTGAGACCCCCCAGAACGAAAGAGTATGATTATCTGACTCCAAGATAAGACACATCTTGTGATTGAGCACATGTTGGACAAGGTTCTGCTCCTTCATACTCCCTGGTTGACGATGAGAAGGCCAAAGGATCACCTCAAGGTCTAAGATGCTTGTGCTACAGAGGGCTTGCAGCCTTGCAGCACAGAGCTAGAATTCCCATTCCTCTCTTCATTACCTTGGACCCCCCTTTTCGTTCTTGTATTGCTTTGCAATCTTTCTTTGGCCTTTTTTGCCGCTATGTCTACTTTTCCACCATCTGCCGCGACAGATCCAAATCTGCCTCATAATTCGTTGGTCCCGCATATCATAGGTGTATGCTCTACGATGCTGGTCCTGGTCACGCTTGTGATCGTTGCCAGGTTCTGGATCCGTTGGACTTTGGTCAAGGCCCGACTGGGGCCTGATGACTGGTGTATCTTGGTGTCATGGGTGTTAGCGGTAGCTTTGGATCTTGATGGTATCAATCGTAAGTCTGTTGCAATATGCCTTTTTCAAGACTTTGCGTCTGTGTGCCACTGCTCGCTATTGAGCATTTATGAGATTAGCTACTATGCTGCTAGGTTGGATGACTAAAAGTAATGGGTAGAGATAAGATATGGGCTTGGGCGACATATCTACGATTTGTCTCCGGACACAAACTTCAGTGTGTCACTCGAGGTCAGCTACCTCAGGGATCCGTTGAGATGCTCTAATACTGACTTGCGCAAAAGCTCTGTTACTTTGGTGAAATCTTGTACTACCTCTGCGTGGGCACGACAAAGGTTGCGATCCTTATCCTTTACCTCCGTCTTGTTGTCCAGCAGACATATCGCATGCTCATCTGGGCGTGCATAGTCTTCGTCATCCTGACTGCCTTATCTTGCGTGATCGCCAGTATAGTTCAGTGTACTCCGGTGCATAAAGCCTGGGATGCTGCGGGGAATGTTGCTGGATCTTGTTTCAATGTCAATGCACTTTTCTTCGCCAACGCGGGACTTAACATTCTTCAAGATGCACTTGTCTATATTCTTCCGATGAAGATGCTGTACGACTTAAAGGTTCCGCGGAGACAAAAAATTGCTCTCATGTTTGTTTTCGCTGTCGGTGGTTTCGTCGTTGTCACAGGCATGGTGCGACTCAATTCATTGAAAGTTGCCCTGAGAACACCCGATCCCTCTTGTGAGCAATTCTCTCTCCTCCATACACGAGCACAATCCCTGACATAGTTATAGACGACAATTTTGGCGCTGTTATTTGGTGCGCCATCGAGTGTAATACCGGTATAGTGTGCGCTTCTTTGCCCTATTTCAAACCACTCATCGACCACTTCTACCCCAACTTGATGGGCCACAGCCGGGGTTCTGCAAAAATGGTTCGCCTCACCAATGGGCCGGCAGGCTCAAAGACTCTGAAGCAGAGTCAGAAGAGGAATGTCGATCAAACAGAACTTGAGCTGGAGCGTGGCATTGGTTGGAATGACTCGTATGCTGCCAAATACGCCGCGAACTGTGGTTACAGTGTTACAGCTAACGGCAAGTCGTCTTCGACGTCTAACGGCAGTGAGGACCACATCAGCTCCCAGGAGGCACATGGCATCCATGGAGGCATTCACAAATCCATGAGCGTCGTGATCAGCAGAGATTGATGATACACAATGGGTACGAGCATCGCACGACGTGCTTGGTCACAGTGGCTTGCTGGCTGATATACGAGGCTATGAGGAGGGTCATGAATGCATATTTGTTTCTGTCTTTGTGTAATACACTCTACTGCATTACTCTAAGTTAGTCACTTTGGCTAAGCGCCTTGACTATGGGATGATGGGCCTTTCTGGGAAGTTGGGTTAGATTTCACTTGAAATTGAGGGGAGTCAGATACTTGACAGCTAAGAGTGCGTATTATTCTACAATCTCATGACCAAAAGAAAACCCCTTTGATGACGTTTAGTGCTTCAATCGGAGATTGTCCAAGACGCGATTAGCTCATTCGACATGTCATTTAAAGAGTACGCCTTGGTCACGAACTGCCAGAGCATTCATTGACCAACAATCAAATACTCCTGGCAACGGCAACAATGCATGCTCTACCACGAAACTTTCGATCGCTATTCCTGACTCCTGACACAGTCAAGTTCAAAGATTGCGGAAATGCTCACTTCTAAAGTATGACTTTATTAAGTCCGGCCATCGCAACGTGACCAAAGCGACCATATATGTATATACATTCACAAGAATCTACCTTTCTGCTGTTTGGAACACAAATCAACTAGCTCCGGCCCGCGATTGATGGCTTTGGCTCGATTGTGAACTCGGGCCCTTTCCGCTCAAGAACTTACTGAGACCTGCCGGGTCTTGTGCAAAATTCAACAACTCCTTTGGCGGGTGGTCGGCAAATTCAACGGCGGCTTCGATAAACGCGACTGCTAATGTGGTGTATTCGATAGCCAGTCTAGCGTTCTGCAGTCCTGGAGGCCGATCCCAACGTAGATAACCATGGTCAAGCATCTCAGGCCTTATCATCTTATAGAACATCCAATACCGAGAGGTCAGACCAACCACGTCCACTAACGCAGCCAGATCTTGGACACTTTTGGCAGATTCGATCATTGGGAAGACCATTCGTTGGATGTGATGATCAAAGCCACCTATGGGAATATTGGCGGGCCAATCCAGGCCTTGCATGTCGCCCATATCAATATTCGGAGGAATCATATTATTCAGTGTTTTCTCAAAATGAATAGCAGCTTGAGCAATTCGTTTAAGTTCTGTCAAGTTGCATATTGGCTGCAAATAAACAGCGACATGGCTTCCGTCTCGGAGGCTGGACACGTGGAAATAACTCGCGAGGTACTCGAAGACCGCCTCGACATCACCTCGCCATAATGGATGAGCTACTGGATTAATGATCGGTGAGTGAAGAGTGCAGGAGACTAACTTATAATTAATATCCAATCAAGCTTTCTGTATCATACACGGGAAGAGAGTTGACTTACTGTTTAGGAGTCCTTGAGACGTCGTCTGATTAGAAATTCCTGATAAACACCATGTATTATAACTGTGATCACACATCTCTTCGCCTGTTCTCAATTCAAATTTTCTGTGAGTATCTCCCTCCGGTATCTGCTTATGATAGTCGCTGATGAGTCGGCGTAGGTAGAATAGACCAAATGCTGCTGCCGCGGGAAGTAGACGAATTACCGGCGTGAGTATAAGTGTTGTGGTAAATCGGAATCTGACCGTACGTTCTGCAGTCAGAACAGCAGCAGCTGCCCCGGAGGGGAACATCGAATCACTTTCAGATCTCGGGATACCGCTGGCAGCTCGCTCTTCTTCCAGCAAACGATTCATCTGCGCCCGCAGATTCAGAGCAGATCTTCGTTGCTGAGCGCGCCGAGTAGCGGGATCCCTCAGGTCGCGTACAGCCTGCCGCTGATGGCTTGAGCCACTTTGAGAAGCCTGTGGATTCCTTGCACCTCGCTGTGGGCTGGCACATGTTTGGGAAGTCAGTGGAATACCTGCAGCATGCTGTGAGCTGGAGCCTGTTTGTGACTGAGTAGCTGGTGGATTCCGTGCACCTTGCTGTGGGTTGGAGCCTTTTTGGGAAGTCTGGGCATTTCGTGCAGCTTGTTGTGAGCTCAAGCCACTTTGGGAAGCTGTTGGATTTCTTGAAGCTTGCTGTGAACCTGAACCACCTTGAGAAGCTTGAGAAGCTTGTGCAGCTCGCTGTGAGCTGGAACCACCCTGGAGAACCGGGGAATGTCTTGCAGCTTGCTGTGAGCTCGATTCGCCTTCAGAAGCCTTTGAGCCTACGCTAGGCTGTTCCCCTGTCAGAACATCTCGATCAGAGGGCGAATTCTGTCTGCTTTCTTTGTTTACTGGGCGAAACATTCTGAACACGCTTCACGAGTCTGAAGGTGAAATGCTTGATATTCCCTCGCCGCTGCACGAGAGGCCTTTTATTCGCACGTCTAAGCAACGTAGAAGGAATCTAGAGATATCTTTGACTAACAAGAAGAAGATTACAAATCTTATTTTTGAGCAAAGTAGAATGAGAGAGATTATGAAGAGGCTTTAAGCTTTTGACCTTTTGGAGATGTCCTGCGGTCATTGCGCCAGCTTGCGTTTCACCACTCCATCTCTGTATCACGTACTTGATGGCAGCGAAATTTGGTGCTCTTTGTCTCAGGCTCCGTACATAGCGTAGTTTCTCAGTTGGAGTCCACTCCGTCTCAAGCTTGTCTTGGGTGGGGCCCATACAAGGAGACGATAGCGCGGTACCAAGATGAGGTGAGAGAAGAGCGAAGCGGTTAAGAGTTAAGAGGGAGGCAGCAGCAAGGGCTCAAATAAACGTATGAAAGGCGTACAGTTGCGGCCGCCTTCAGCGAGAAGAGCATCTCAGAACTTAACAGGATACGAACAAGCAATTCGTTACTTCGTAGACATGGAGTAATCACCATGATCAGCTTACGGGGCGGTCTCTTGCAAGCAAATGCAGTGTTAAGGCTCTTCGAGGCCTCAGACTTTTATAACATGCGGCTCCTCTTGGATTCTTTGCCGGGAGAATGACTTGGCAACAAATTGTAGGCTTGGGCAGACCTTTGTGTGGGTAAGCGTTAAACGCCGTTTCCATTAGCTATTCATAAAATCTCTTTCTCAGTTTTTGCTGGAGCGTGAATCAACAATCTCCATGCACCCTTGATCTTGATCACATTCTATTTTCCGGTCCCCCGCACTTGAGTCACGTTTTTAGATGATGGTCCTTGTCTTGGTGAATGGCTGCGTGGAGAAGATTCATTATCAGAGCTTGGGCTGGTAGACTTATCCACTTTGGTCCTCTCCGCCGTTGCTCGCCCTTGTGCAGTGTTGCCTGGAGAAGAGCGAGGAGCGGATAGACTTTTTAGATCCCCCTTCTGACTGGTTCCTCCGCGACAAGACCCACGAGGAGGGCTGCGCGGAGAGGATCCAGAAGGGGATTGACATTTCGACTTTTCTTTCTGGCTGGGCACCGCTCCACTGAATCCCTTGGTAAAGTTGCGCAGAGAAGATGCAGGAGAACTTGGGACTTTGGAATGTGTCTCCGGACCGCGTCCTGCTTGGCCTGTTGCCGCTTGGCCTTCAAAATATTTCACATTGGGCCCATAACCTAACGGCGGCTCATCCCAGTCTGCAACGCCATAGAGAGCATCAGCGATCCCTTCGCATATTTTCTCGGGAAGATGTGAGTTTCCATTCTGAGGCACCGCATCTTCAGGCATTTCAAGCCAGCTTTGGAAAAACCGGTTAGCATGGAATTCAATTATAAGACGCGATAGCTGAATATTGAGGTAGTTCTGAAATTTAGGGGTTTACGGACCTCAGCAAACTTATCAGTCCATTATATCCACCTTGCAACTTATGTCGATCGGGCAGTAATCGGTAAGCAAGCCGATCAACGACTCGACGCTTTTCTCCAGTATTCGCAGCCAGAAACACTCTTTCGAGATCCACTGGTTGAGATGTCAGAAAGAGAGTTCTCTTTTTATCCACGAGAAGGATGGGATGAATAACCTAAAAAGGTCTACCTTTGTTCTTGTTTCGCGCAGTTTCTTCTTGACTGTAGTCGTATTCCGCCTGAGTAATAATAGCTTCTTGACATATCTTACGCTTTTCCATCATCATCACATAAGTTTTACACAACTCGATGGTCTCATTATAGCGTTCTTGAGTGAAGTCTATGGATTTGAGGTTCGGCTCCATCTTGAATTGCCCGGACAATGAAGAGATGTAGGCATTTAGTGGTGGTTTCCGAGGTGGAGCGTAGAATGGGCTGCAAAGACAGAACCTGAGTTGTCAATAATCGAGCTGACACGGGACCTAATGCAAATGATAAGAGCCATGACTGTGATACGATGATGTATCAAGTCTCTAAAAATGGAAACAAGTCTGGAAATATGTTTTGGGTGGACATGCTGAAACCAGGGGGTTGAGCGCGCACCTCCGGCCACACGGTGGATCGGATGAGATGTTTCTATGTCAAATATTGATGCTTTTAAGAGTTCTTAGGTAGTAAGAATGCTCAGAACTTCAAGTGTTATCGAATAATTTCATAGTCAACATCTCAAGTCAGATAATCAGAGTACTGCAGAGAAAAAGCATTTGCAGTTCAATGAGACTTGATGTTCTTCTTGCCAAGGCTGCAGCAAAATTATGATAAATCATGGGAACGCTATTCTCAAACAAGGAAGAGGAAGCATTCTGTGACACAGGGGATACTCGTGTCATTCTGACATAATGAGTAGGTAGTTGGAAAGCTGTATCACGCCCAGCAAGAGGGCTATCGCTACGTGATGCCTGTCGGCAGATACTAACTTAGTACCATACTAATACCAGTTAGAGTGAAAGTGGCTACGTGACATTTCAAGTTCAAGTTGTGGAAATGGTCACTGCCCTGCAGCAGATGACGGAGGGGCGTGACATCAACCACATCTTCCAAGATATGGGGGGCATATATTCAGAAATGCCCTCCTCCTGATGTGCTACTGCAAATAAACTCGAAAGAAATTGTACCGTCATCTGCATACCCTGCATTACGAAATTTATCAGAACAAGAGAAAACTTTCTTCACATCGATGCTCTGTTAAGCCAGAGTGTTGACCAGATCTTGAGGTACCATGGAGTGGGTCAAAAATACATACAACGAGCAGTACGAGAACTGGGTGCCATGGTTGGAGGATAAATACCTTGCCTGGTTTGGCGAGAATAAGAGCAGCTATTTTGCCAAAGGTATGTCGTTTCTCAGTTGTAACAGAGAACATGTCGCTGTTTGGAATTACATATGGTGGATCTTTCACGATCATCACATGTAATGTCATTCCTTGTGCATGAGGGAAACCAATCATTCTTAGGGAGCTATGCAAGCTTTCCAGGCCATGGCATCCAAGTCGGAGCAACTTGGTACCCTTCACCTTTGCCCTTACTAACATGGACTTTCTATAGACAACCTTTCCAAAACCAAGATCACAGGAGACAAGAATGTCAACGCCTTACAAGATGGTGTGAACGATGGTGTTGGTGGACAACTGGGCAAGGGCGGCCTTTTGGAAGGCGTCGGCAAATTGGGAAGCAAGGAGGTTTTTACAAGGAGTGAAAGGGGTGGAAAGGGGGAGGGAGGTAGTGTACTGTGATTAGCTGATAAATTGATAACGTGGGGGTGAGTGAGAGCTGGGTTACTCAGCTTGGGGATGATATTGGTTGTTGTATACATCTGAGAAGTTGACTTGGTACACGTCCAGTGTATTCACAATGGCTCCTCCTGTTTTATTCTTGAGGCAGTATGCTCGAATCACAACGGGCGACTCCCAGGACTTATGTGTATTGACTTTAACCAATGTTGCTCAGATGCATTGTTCGGAATTCCGGCACCCGTGTCGGAGATCTGAGCAACACCTTTCTGATTGTCTAAGTGCCGAAAACCGCAGCGGTTGCTTGGAAGTCTTGAAAAGCTACCAAATAGGAATTTCAACTTCCACATCAGGTTTCGAGGAGGCAATCAGAACCGCGAATTCCTCCTAAGCACTTAATGCATCGCCGTGAAGGCATAGTGGTTGCCTCGGCTCTTCTTGCTCTGTATATCGTCAAGCCTCCGTGAGAAGTGCTCTAGATGTGAGAAAGCAGCCTGTTGGCTTTCAAGCGTTTCGAGAATTAGGAACGAAGACAGGCGGCTTGAAGTGCAATGTCCTCCAAAGATAATTGATCATGGTAAAGTTCTTTAGAAGGCGATCATGCCTAACGCCAAGTCAGACGGGTCTTGGCGTTTCCTATTCGCTCAACTCCAACATTTGGGGTAATCTGGTTGCACAGCTGCGTGAAATCCATAGGAAGAAGGACAGATGTCAACAGTGTATGCACCTCTTCAGTGAAACAAGACGTATCAAAGATGTGGGCACGGTGGTAGCAGACTCACTCCTTTGATCCCTTCCCTTTCCAAAGTAGTGGCCTATCGGCCCGCAACATGGGGGACGAGAAGGACTCACAACGATACGAAGCCTTAGCAATTCCATCATATGAAGAGGCGACATCCTCACGCCCTACTTCTTCACACCTACGGCTTGGGCCTGAAGAGATCAGTGATGACGCGGAAAGGCAAGGCCTCCTTCGCTATTCTCCCCAGTCCCGCACGCAATCACCCAATGGCTACCAGCCTCCAACGGTTGAATCTGCAAGATCGAGCCTCGACCTACCTCCTTCAGTTGATGGCTCCGAACGACGCTCGGCCGAGGAACTACGACATGAAATGGAACAATTGGAAGTGGAGGAGGCAGATAATGACAATGGATCGCATCGGTCGCTGCTGACGAACCGCTTCTCCAAAAGCATCACAAGCTTTACGAATTCAATATCTTCGCTTCATCTCCCTTTCCGCCAATATCTCCCTTCCTTCTCCCTTCCTCGTATACGACCTGGATCGTGGGTTCGAGCCGAGCATACTCGCTTTGTCATATTTGGGCGCATTTTTGGCGCATTCCTGATCATTTCCGTGGTATATTTACTGGTTGCATCTGATGTACTATCGATAGGCGCAAGAAGGTCAGTTGGCGAGGTTTACGATCCCGAAAGTATTAGGTTGTACATTCAGAACCATATGAACGAAAATGGGGACATACAGCAGTATTTGGAATATCTAACCAGAGATGTACACATGGCTGGGACCAAAGGGAACCTCTTCTATGCGGAGTGGATCAAAGATTTATTCGAAGCTGCTTCTCTGGAAGATGTTGCGCTGGAGAGGTTTGACGTTTACCTCAACTACCCTACAGACAACGGGCGGAGGGTAGCAATTGTACAGCCAGTAGAAAAGACTTGGGAAGCCATGCTTGAGGAAGATGCCATTCATCAGAGTAGTCCACAAACATATTCACCGGTATTTCATGGTCATTCGAGAACTGGAAACGTCACTGGGCCTCTCATCTATGCCAATTATGGATCCAAGGACGACTTTAACTGGTTGGAGCGACAAGGAATCTCGTTAGTGGGTGCTATAGTTATTGTTCGTTATGGTGGAACACAAGGCGACCGTGCGTTGAAGGTCAAGGCTGCAGAGCTTGCTGGAGCCGCTGGATGCATTATCTACTCAGACCTCGAACCCAACGGCGAAGTATGGCCTGACGGCAGGTTCATGCCTCTTGATGGTGTCCAACGTGGAGCTGTATCACTTATGTCCTGGGTGGTTGGTGACGTGTTGTCACCTGGTTGGGCATCAACTCCTGGCGAGAAGAAACGACTTTCGCCCGAGGAGAGCACTGGGCTGGTTAGGATACCATCTCTTCCAATCTCCTGGCGTGATGCAAAGCATTTGCTAGAGGCGATCCAGGGTTATGGCAAAGAACCCCCACAAGACTGGCAAGGTGGTTCCTTAGCAAATGAATATTGGACGGGGAACCAGAACTCACCAATGGTGAATCTCATGAACATGCAAGATGAAGTCATTCGCGAGCCCATTCACAATGTGCTTGGACGGATCTCTGGCTGGGAGCAGACCGAAAAGAAAGTCATAATTGGCAATCATCGTGATGCGTGGTGCGTAGGAGGTGCTGATCCGGGGTCTGGCACAGCTATCATGCTTGAGGTAGTGCGTATTTTTGGTGAGCTTCGAAAGCTTGGATGGAGACCTCTGAGGACGATTGAGTTTGCAAGCTGGGACGGTGAAGAATACAATCTAATTGGCAGCACCGAACATGTGGAAAACCGTCAAGACGAGCTGCGGCGCGATGGATATGCGTATATTAATGTCGACGTCGGCGTGAGTGGATCTGACTTCTGGGCAGCCGCTTCGCCTCTATATGAACGGGCGCTTCTTCGAGTTTTGGATCGGACATCTGACCCAACGACAAATCGGACTCTCCGCAACCTGTGGGATGCTAAACACGCTAGTCTCGAAGGTCTTGGTGCTGGGAGCGATTATGTTGCTTTCCAGGATATCGCCGGCACGTCTTCCATTGATTTCGGATTTCGAGGTCAATCTTTTCCCTACCATAGCTGCTACGACAATTATGAGTGGATGATCAAATTCGGTGACCCATCCTTTGGACACCACACTGTCATGGGTCAAATCTGGGCGCTGTTAGCGCTCGAGATTGCCAACAAGCCGATATTGCCATTCGATATGGAGGATTACGCCAAGTATGTGGAGGGTTATGTCAATGATCTTGAACAATATGTCCGAACAAAGGAGAAAGATGCCAGTGTACCAAACGCATTGAATTTCAGGGTGCTGCACGATACAGCTGCCGAGTTCAAGACGGAAGCACATACCTTTCAGGATTGGGCGCGAGCATGGACAGACGTGGTATTTTCTGGGGGTGGATTTGAAAACAACGTGATGGCTATTAAGCGGATGAGTCACAACAATCGAATGGCAAACTTTGAGACTCATTTACTTGATCTGGAAGAGGGTGGCGGTGTAAGTTGCTATGTCTATTCACCTTCCAAGCGTGAGTTTTGCTGATCCGTCCATTCAGCTTCCAAATCGTACACAGTTCAAACACGTGTTCTTTGCACCACAGGCATGGTCAGGTTACGACGAGGCATTCTTTCCCAGCATCCGGGATGCTGTTGATGTCGGTGATTGGGAAGCGGCTCAAAAAGAAGTCAATAAAGTTGCGGATATCTTTGGCAAGGCTGTTCACAAACTGAACCATAATTGAGAAGAATATCAACCTGATGGAGGCAGAACATAGTCAGTATCTTCTTTGCACAGCATACGAGTGGCGTTGAGCAGCGGCTAAAGGTCCGATGGCTCTGAGCATCTGTATTGGTTGATTCTTATGCAAAATACCACTTCATATCCCACGGACTATCGATCCTAAAATGTGAGGGTTTCAGCACGAAAAAAGATGGTCCGCTGGCATTAATTGTCTGTACTCAAAATTATCCCCCGATCATCATTCCCAGATCACCATAGACATGTACCCCGCTTTATACATAATGCTCAGGACAATAGTTATTCAACAACCTCGTAGTTATGAGACACTTGATTTGTCCCACCGTTAGTGGTCGCGTTTTTTTCAAGAAATTTCAAAATATCAAATTTCAAGGGATTTATGTTGCGAACTTATATAAATTACTTTGAGACTACTGCATCATGTGACTACAGCTTGGCCATTATAGGCTTACTAGGTGTATCCCTAAAACAGCTTTAGCTGAAATAATACTGTGAAATATATTTTTGAAAACTCAATAAATTTCTTCTAAAATAATTTACATTTCATGATATCGAAAGATTTCTGTGATCCCTACCCACTGTAATCAGTAAGGGAATTCTCAATCTTTTAATTCTATAAATAGTATGTGTTGCTTACTGTTTTGTCGAAAAGTGCTGTAAGGTTTAATCCCTCTCTGGAATCCAGCGTTTCAATTGGATAAGGTTGAAGTCAAGTTGCGTTCTTGGGATTACGTAGTACTAGTAGTTAGATTACAGGGCGCTACTGCAGAATTTTTGCCCAGCACAACCCCATCGGATCTGAGTATCTCATTTTTACAGTAGAAATCTTTTACCTGCGGCATCCCGCTCGATTTGGAAGCTATCCAAAATCATTCCTAATTTATTCAATGGTTGGAAAGCTTAATTTCAATCTGGAAACTTTAGGGAATGTATCGGAGTAGCGGTATGTAAGTCTCTTGGCGCCCTACTGACATCACTTTCGCTGAATACCATAGTACTACGTAGCTGTATCGGGAACAAGGCTCGGACAGGACTGGACCGCTCTGGGGTGCGAGGCTGGCCTCCTCGGATGGAACAAGGCTCGCATACGTAGTAACCTACAGTACGGCGTGCTACGCACCAACTCTCGCACGCTAGAACTAAAGCAGCCGGGCACCCTTTTCTGTGCACACAGTGGCTGCAAGGTCACTATCCCATTCGCTATCGCCTCTCATCGACGATGGTAAATAGGCCATTTCAACCCCACTACGTAGTACTTTGCTGGCACTCGGTGAGGGCGGCTCTTTGACCCTCCACGCCATCCCTGAAGCCAGTCTGCACACATTTTGACATCCTTTGACCGAAAGGGGCTGACCCACTGGAATTGATCGATTCATTGCCTTGTGTATCTGACATGTTCCTCCTGCGGCGATTCTGTGTCGCAAATCAAGAGCCCACGCCCATGTCCGGCCTGCGAATCAACGTCAAGAGATACAGAGGATATTAAGGAAGTCGTCACAGTCACTGGTTTGAGTCAATCCTGCGAGAACAACAGTTTGAACATGTTTGTTAACCCTGCTCTTGCGAGCTGTGCAATCTGTCAACTGGCCCATGGCCCATTCCCGGAAGCATTACCGTGGGAAGACTCAGTCACACCGCCCGCTATTTGCATTTCCTGTGTCGAACAGTCGTTAAGCGCTATGAACACTAGCGGGCAGAGTATCGATGATTCCTCAACGATCAACTCTCAGGCTACGGACCGTAGGCAAGCCCTGGGACTCCTATCTTGCCTGGAATGCCACAGGTCTCTCCCGGCTTCACTTTTCCCGGACGGGCGCATCGTCGAGTCTTGCCAGCACGAGCCAGAGGTGTGTTTGGACTGCATCGAAAAGGCGATCATCGAAAGTCTGGATAACGATCTCCCCCAGTGTATTAGCTGCCCACAATGTGGGAGGACGATGTCCCCGATTGACATCTGGCGATTCAGCGGAAATGTTACCTTTGAGAGGTAAGAAGCCTTCTTTTCCGCGGTCAGTAGCAACATAGGCTCAGCTTCGAGTTCAATCAGATATGAAAAGATGATTCAAATGGCAAAAGAGCAAGAGTGTGCTGTTTGTGTCGAGACTCTGCGTGGGTCTTATTTTCCGGGGGCACGGGTTACAGAGAGCTGTGAGCATGGGCCGCACACATGCCTGGAATGCATCGGGCGCCATATCGAGAGTCAGCTTGAAACTCGAATGTGGAACCAACTTAGTTGTCCTGAATGCCCGGAGCTGCTTGGATATGCCGAGGTCAAGAAGTATGCCTCCGAGGCGACTTTTCAAAAATATGACTTACTGTCCGTGAGGGACGGTGTATCCTCGGATCCCAATTTTCGATGGTGTACGGCGTCTGGATGCACTTCTGGGCAAGTTCATCCGGAAGGTGCCGAGTCGCCCTTAATGATTTGTATTTCTTGCCGATCACTAAGCTGTTTCACTCATCAAACTCCATGGCACGAGGGAATGACTTGCTTGGAGTTTGATAACCCAGAAGCTGCACAAGATACATCCAAGACTTCAACTGGCCCCGGGCGCAGTGGATTCCTAACCAGTCTTGCCGAAATGTGTGGATGGAATCGCGAGATCTTCCTGGGTGGCGTGAGGCGTAGGGAGACGGATCAGGAGAAGAAGGATAGAAAGATGGCAATGCGTCTCTTCAAAGAGCAAGAGGAGGCAGAAAGAGTACGATTACGGAGGATAGAGCAAGAGAATAAAAGACAAGCCGAGGCAGAAGAGGCAGAGCGGCAAGAGAACGAGAGACTTGCACGCAAGGCACAGGCGGAGAGAGAAAGGCGGGAACGTGAGCTGCGTCTACAAAGAGAAGAACGAGAGCGTGAGGCCCGAGAGGCGCAGCAGAGCCGAGTGAGACGGCAAAAAGAAGAATCAGCGAGCACGACCTTGCTCCAAACGAACACGAAAGCATGTCCTGGGAACTGCGGCTGGAGAATAGAGAAGAAAGATGGCTGTGACCATATGACATGTTGGGATTCTCCACCCCTACGCGCGAGCCACGGCGTTGCTGACGTCGAACTTGCACAGGCTCTCGGTGTAGCTATCAGTTTTGCTGGATATGTCTCGCGTCTTGGGCGGCCATACGACGAAACGGGAATACATCGCATGAGCCGACGTGTAGGTATCATTCCCGCAATCTGTGAATGATCCGTCTGACACAGCCTTGGTCACGATATGCTGGTGGACAAGGTCAGTGCTGTAGAGCTTCATTGATCACGATTTGATTACCACAGGGGAATAGTTCACAACAGGTTATTCAAGCGCATTTCCGCCAGCTTCACTCGGTCCACTGATGCCTTATCAAGTACAGAGTACTTGTTCACCATAAACAACCCACGCCACAGACACTCGATCCCGTACAAAGCCACCTGTTGAGCCGGCTGGTCCATATATAGACAGAAGGATCATGCATCTGATATTGGCTGTCCTTTCTGCCCGATAATACCAGTATATCCGGAGTACTTCAACCTCCCTGTTGGATTTTGAGACCAAACTGTCGTGCTACCGCGAGCTTTGCGTGGCAAAGATAAGCATTTATGTAAGCAATTGGAGAGCAACTCGCCGCCCGCAATAACCCTCCCTCATTCCGAGGAGGGTCAATTCCAGCAAGGCAGGTGGTTCAAAGGAGCTCTCCAATTCAATCGAGGAGATATACATAGTCTCAGGATTCAACTTAATCTCATGGAAAATAACATGTTTTCTTGTTGAGAAATGTATATAACAGCGAAGGTTTTGGTAGGCTTTTACAACAAGAGCCTCTTTCAATTATCTCCCATAAGAAGCTTTCGTTGGCTTCATCGGTCAGACCGCTGTCATGACGCAGAATGGGGACTTTGCTTCTTGTGTCTGGATTTCGAGATTCTGCGTTAAACTCAAGACAAGAATGCCCGACTCTACGCGAATTAGAAGACTGTTCCTCGCGGAAGAGATTTAAGCTTAGAGAACTTTTCAACCAATTAATCGGGGCTGGTGGTAAGCGTGGATGAGAGCATGCCTGTGGTGACCAACTGCGGGGCACTCTAAGTTAGTTACCCCTCCAGCTAAATTTCTCCCTTTTCTCACGAAAATCAGCAAATTTTCTTATATGCACATTCGTTGATTCGTCCTCCAGCACTACCCTTCCAAGTGCACAGAGAGAGACGACCGCTAATATGAGTGTTAGCGAAGTTTCCCTGAAGCCGTTCACAGATCAGAAGCCAGGTGAGCCTCAGCTCTGCACGGCTGGTCTTTGCATTTGACCTGACAGAAATATCACTAGGCACGTCCGGTCTTCGGAAGAAGGTTACTGTCTTCCAACAGCCAAACTATTCTGAATCTTTCATCACTTCCATTCTACTCTCGATCCCGGAAGGTGCGGAAGGCGCATTCCTTGTCATTGGTGGGGATGGGCGTTACTACAATCCAGAGGTGGTGCAATTGATTGCACAGATCGGTGCTGCATATGGCGTCAGGAAGTTGGTCATAGGCCAGAATGGCATTCTGAGCACGCCCGCTGCTAGCCATGTGATCCGGAAGATGAAAGCTACCGGTGGCATCCTTTTAACTGCAAGTCATAATCCAGGAGGTATGTAATTGGTATCTAAGCTTCATGACCACGACTTACGACTTACGGTGTCGACAGGACCAAAGGCCGATTTCGGCATGAAATACAACCTCTCCAATGGCGGTCCCGCTCCAGAGTCGGTCACGAACAAGATCTTTGACAAGTCGAAATCGCTTACAAGCTACAAAATTGCAGATCTGCCCAAGGTTGACATCTCGACCATTGGCACCAAGAAATACGGCGATCTGGAGGTTGAGATCATTGACTCGGTCAAAGACTACATGGACATGCTGAAGGACATCTTCGACTTTGATCTCATCAGAAGCTTCTTCAAATCTCAACCAGACTTCAAGGTTCTCTTCGATGCGCTCTCTGGAGTCACTGGGCCTTATGGAGTTGCTATCTTCCAGGAGGAACTTGGTCTTGACTCTTCCAGCACACAGAACTGTGTGCCTTCACCCGATTTCAATGGCGGACACCCGGACCCAAATCTCACATACGCACATTCTCTGGTCGAGGTAGTCGATTCCAAAAAGATCCATTTTGGCGCTGCGTCGGATGGAGATGGAGACCGAAACATGATCTATGGTTACAAAGCATTTGTTTCTCCTGGTGATTCACTTGCGATCATTGCCCACTATGCTAAGCAATACATTCCTTACTTCCAGAAACAGGGTGTCTACGGATTGGCGCGATCCATGCCCACCTCCGGAGCGGTCGACCTGGTTGCTAAGAAGCAAGGTCTCTCCTGCTATGAAGTGCCTACCGGGTGGAAGTTCTTCTGTGCTCTATTCGACAGCGACAAGATGTCCATCTGCGGCGAGGAGTCTTTTGGCACTGGATCAAACCATATTCGCGAGAAGGATGGCTTGTGGGCTGTTGTGGCATGGCTCAACATCATGGCAGGTGTTGGCAAGGATACCGGAAAAGTTCCTTCGATCACCGAGATCCAGAATCAGTTCTGGCAGACCTATGGTAGAACATTCTTCACGAGATACGATTATGAGGGTGTCAGCAGTGATGGTGCAAACGATGTGATCAAGAATCTGAGCGAGCTGATCACGACTAAAAAGTCGGAGTTCATGTCGTCCAGCATCAAGGGTCGAAAAGTGGTGGAAGCGGATGACTTCAGCTACACCGATCTTGATGGGTCTGTGGCAAAGAACCAGGGCATCTACTTTAAATTCGATGATGGATCTAGGATTGTGGTGAGGCTGTCTGGGACTGGGTCATCGGGGGCGACCATCCGGCTGTATGTGGAGAGGCACGAAACTGACAGCAGCAAGTACAGTATGGATGCCCAGGAGTATCTCAAGGAGAACATTGCGCTGGCTGTGGAGCTTCTGCAACTACAAAAGTTTGTGGGCAGGACAGAACCTGATGTGAAAACGTAGTCTACGGACAAAAGATGGTGGCCCGATGATGGCTAGCTAGACCACCACAAAAGTTTGCCAAGCGTACCTCACTCGAAGAGAGGGGGATATAGAAGAATCGTGAAGAATCGTGAAGAATCGTGAAGAATCGTGAAGATACGGGTGGCCCCATCCTGGTTGTTGCCTGCATAGTATAACTGTTGAATTGCCTCTGAGGTAGGGTAGAATAACCCATTTTCCCATTTTCCCATCTATCAAGGAGCAGGGACTAAAGGTGGACAAACTGGCCAATAGGCACTCTCGCAGCTTGACAAGAACATGGGATTCTTTCCCGTAACCAGCTAGATCACAGCAAGCACATGTTGCAAAAGGTATGGTATGACAGTGTTAATCACTTCGGTATTCTCTAGGGGTCTGTAGGGTTCTCGATCTGCAACTGTAGCTCTTGGCACCATACTTGTACCACCGGCAATGTACGGCAAGGTACTGCGGAGCACTGCGTAGCACTGGCAGCCGGTTCTCAAAGTCCATACTCCGTACCAGACGCCTTATTTCCTACGATATCTCCGTTGCCTCACGCTACCAATGCCAAGAATCTTTAGCACAGGTACTTTAAGTTGTACGACAGGGTGCTAGCTTTGTACCAGCCTGATATTGGAGTACCTTCAGGAAGCACATCTGCACCGTACACCAGCTTGTTCAGCCCATGAGATGAAAGAGGGAAGAAGGGGTGAGTTGGGAAGTCTAGCACTAGAGCCCTAGAGCGCCTCTAGAAATCAACGGAGGCCTAAGAATCCTCCTTTCTTCAGCGGAGGCCCGTTGTCGATCAGCCGCCAGCCTCAACGACACCAAACTGGCTACGTAGTAGTCACAGTGCACTTGCATCTCCTATCATCCTGCACATAATTTCCAATGCAAGGGCGAGCATGTGCCGATAAGGCACGGCTTGCGCCATCCTTCGTCCCTATCCTATCAAACGGCAGGTCGAGATGTGATTAGACTTTGTCTTGCTGGTCGCCAAGGGCTTGGCGGAATGTTCTTAGAAATCTTCCAGTTGTATTCGTACCCCTTGACCGCTAACAACCCTATGGAACTGCACTTTCTTCTGCCTCTGCCCAAGAACAGGCCGCTGAAGGTTCCGCCGAGACTCAGGGTGCAGTGGCGGATCCACTGTCGACGTACGAGTGCATTTCGGCCGACGGGACACTTCCATAATCTTTCCGTCTATCGATCGGTGACCGGTTGGTCACGTCAACCTGCATCAATCCACCTTTCGTACACCCTTTGTGTGTCGATGCCAGTGTGCAAGCATCCCGGGGGCATGTGTTGCTGCTCGGTTGCATGACAGGTTGAACGGAGGCGCTGGGGTAGAGTCAGACGCAGAGTGGAGAATGTGCACGGTGGGCACCTTGTCGAACGAGTCTGAATGACGGTGGAGGGCATCTCTTGGCATGGCCGACTCCATATACGTACCTGGGAGCCGTCCAGCATATTTGAAAGGGCTGACACGGCGTGGAGTTCTCCCTACACTTCTCTATCTCTCTATTTTTCTCTGTTTCTCTATTTCAGCATTGCTCTTTCCCCGTTTGTCCCACTGCTTCCTTCCGCCTCTGCTCTTCAGCACTCTGCTGCCTAGATTGAATTATTTCCCTTGGGCGCTCAAGCCATGGCTCAGTCTCCACCATCTGCATCACCCCCATCACCCCCATCATCTTTGCAGTCTCCTACAACGCCACGATCACCACGATCACCACCTTCACCACCTTCACTTCACCATGTCCGAAGTCCCAGCGTGGCGTCCAACTCGAGCACGCCAACACTCATTATCAGCCCGTTTGACTCACCTCTGCGTTCACAGTCATCGAGTATTATCGATGAGAAGAGACACCATCAAGACCAAATGACCTCCTCTATCCGCTCCTCCTCAAGGTTCATGGAGTACTTCAACGAAGAGGTTGCTGGAGCCCATAGCTCGCTCTACCTCCTGGTTTCCTTCTTCACCTCCGGACTCATCGACAGCGTGGCCTTCAATGCATGGAGCTGCTTTGTTGGCATGCAGACTGGTAGGACATGGCGTGACCGGTTTTCGCTCGCTTTGCTGATCTTCATCTCGCGTGCCAGGCAACACCATATTTGCAGCACTCGGCTTTTCCGGTCAACCTCTCACTGTTCATCCCAATGCGTATCTCAAGTCGATCACGTCCATCTTCGCCTTCTGCGCCGGGACTCTCTTCTTCAGCGCGATGCACCGCATACCATGCTGGTTTGACCCGAACCCAACACCTTCTCGTCGTCGTTTCATTCTCATCGTCTCCTTCACCATTCAGACGACCTTCATCGTCGCTGCGGCCCTCCTGATCCAGCTTGGCTTCGTCTCTAGTCGACCATCGGTTTCTGGTGCCTTCAGCTCGGGGAACCATCTGAGCGATCTCCCAAACCCCGAGGAAGAGGACAACTACAAAGATCTCATAGCCATTGCTTTGCTCGCTTTCCAATCCGCAGGTCCCGTGTTCTTTTCGCGTGTCCTTGGAATCATTGAATTGCCAACCATTGTGCTAAGCACACTCTACTGTGACTTCGTCGCAGATCTTTATCATTTGCCTACTTCCCTGCGGAACAAGAAGTCCTGGTATAGCTTCTTTTTCAATGACGAAAGAAGACAGTTCAGACGCTTGGGCTCAATCCTAATGCTGTTTCTCGGTGGCCTTGTTGGTGGCTTCATGTTCCGAAGCCTCGTTGGCATGGTGGGTGCTCTCTGGATGGCTTCTGGACTAAAGGGTATGATGGTGGTGGGTTGGGTGTTGTGGAAGGCGGAGAAGAAGCCACAAGAAGAGGGTGGAGTCTGAACGCCACAAAAAGAGGGTGGATTCTGAAAGCCACCGCCATTTTTTGATACAACGATCTCATGTTTAGGTAACCACTCCTCTGGTCTCGAGCAAAAACATATCAAGCACTTCATGACAGGTTCTTGGAGCACGAATTCTTCTACAGGATTCCGGCGCAATCATTGCTTAACCATGCGAACCTCGTACCACCCCGCATTCGGTTTCTGCTTGGTCGTGGCAACCTACAGCAGCATATTCGAGCTTACGTCTCTGGGGCTCTGATAACCGGTCTTACACGAAGCTGTTAGCCACGATCTATTGACAAGGTTGATGGGATGATGGGTGATGGGGGTGATTTGCCGGGGCGTCTTGCAGGAGCTATGGTATATCATGGGAATTGATCAACTATACCCATGAAGAATGCGATTGCTGTTTAGATACAATTACTGCACGGTCACTGGGCCAGATAGATAAGAGTGATGAAAGCTCAACATCATAGATAGTTCAACACAAGGTTCCCAAAAATCAGCGCTACATGCCGAAGGAATTGCCACTATACTAGTCCGTCATCCTACAACGCTTCCTTCCGAATCCGAATCCTCCCCCAATCCCAGTCTCGACATCATCATTAACACGACAAGAGTACGTGTGCAGAGTTGCTATCCACCCCAGAATTCGCGCATTTTAAAAAATCTGCCATCCCCTGCCCCTGACCGAGCACAGCCCCAAACTAAGTTTCCCTTTCGGGCCCCCCCCCTTTCCCTTTCCCTTTCCCTCTCTCTCTCTCTCCCTCTCACCGCCCCCATCCTTCCCTCTCCCTCTCACAAGACCTCACCATCTATCCATCGGCTCAACCAAGGCTACTGCCCCCCTTCCCCCCGCCCAAAAAAAAGAAGAGGAAAAATATATTCAAAAAAATTGGTAATCAAGCCATTTGAAATCCAAAAATCCGACGCCTTGTCCCACCACCACCACCGTACCTACTGTAGTACTGTCGTACTGTAACCCTGCAGGTTCCCGAATCATCTTTTCTGAGTGAGAGCTTTCGGTCTTTTCTGATTTGATTTGCAGTAGGTAACTAAATGAGTAAATAACTCAGTAACTAGTTTGGGAGGGAAAGGGTCGGTCTCGGCGGTAGGCATTAAG